TCTCCGGTAATTATAGAAGTCATTATCTTTTCCGTTCTTCTTTCCGATGAATCTGGTATTTCCTAATTTTTCCTCTTTTTCTCATCCTAATTATAATTTATAAAACTCATTAACCAGTCCCATGTTGGCAATTCCAGCTGCTCTGGTAAGTTCAACCTAATTGCTTTCTCTATTGATCTTAAATTTTTTTATTATAGCTCTCTCTCTCTCTCTCTTAATTTTACCATCGGCTTTTCCTTCTGCAAAGTCACGGCCGTTCTTCTGCTCTCACAAATCTTTTGGAGAAACCAAAATTGAAGTTCTAAAGGTTTATTTTAATGTGAATATGAGTCTATCTATCTATCGATCTTGTATATAGGAAATCACAGATAATTTGCACATGATTGTTTGGGGAATTATGGGCTATCCTATTTGCAATTTCTTCCATACGAAATCTCTCTCTCTCGATTATTATTGTTATTGTGGCGCTTGCAATTCTTATGTAGAGTTTAGTTATTTGATTCTGTTTCAAACTAGATGATGGTTTGTATAACTGTGACATGGGGATTTTGCAGACTTATAAACGAAGGTTTGTGTATTGTCTTTGAAAGAATGGCTAGAAGAAGTTGTAACTGCGGTATGTGTGAGAATGCAAACCTTCCTTCTATCTGTGTCGCCTGTGTCAGCTACAAGTAAGCCCCCCAGTTTTATTTGTAGTCCATGTAATATTTCTGGGTCGTTAATAATTCATGCTATTTTCGATATCTCGATCACATATTAAATATCGTCGGATCCTATGCAGCTAGGCACTTGTATCGATTTCTAGCATTAAGTTGGTGCTCTTTTTCTTCCTTTTTTATTTTTTATTTTCAAAAAATTGAAATTAATGTTGATGTGGCTTAATATCTGAGGAATCCTGTTTAAGCAAGTGGTAATTTTTTTTTTCCTGCTGTGTGAAATTTTTTATTTGGCTTAATCTTGTGCATTATATTACACTTTGTTGCTAACTCCTTCGCAACATGTTTTGTTACATTTTTCAGAGTACATGAATATCATGCTGCATTGAAATCATTGGAGGCTACTCGTGATGCTTTGTATAAGAGATTGAATGGAGAAATGACGGCCAAGGTTTTCCATAATTGCCTGCCTATTTTGAATTTAAACTGTTGATACACTCTTGTTTTTATGAGAATACTGTTTTGTAGTGGTATGTTCGAAGAAATTTTTGTTTAGATTGCTTGTATTATTCTTTCTGAGTTGTAATACAAATTTTTAGCGGTTGGATATATGAACTATTGCCTTTCTTATTTCCATCTCGAGTGAGTGAATATTATCAAAGACATGAAATAGCAATAAAATGGTTGATAATGATAGTCCACAAGTCCTTGAGACATTCTATAGTCATGATTTTGCTAGTGTCTTATTCTTTCCCTGTGTTTCCTATATCATTTTCCTTTGGCACTGGATGAGTTTGAGAAAGCTGCCCATTAAGATGGCTAATGCAATGGGTGTGTTGTCTGATTGTGCTTCAACAACTGAGACAAAAAGCTGGTGGGACTTCTTTCCAAATCCACTGTTAACCGTGGCCGAAAAGTTTCATTTTGATTGTCTGCTTGAGAGTGTAAGGACATGGCAAAGCGTATCCTGTTGATAGCCATAGGTTCCATCGGTATATATCTTATGGCATAGAATACCCCTTCCCAAACGTAGATTATGGTTGCATGAGGAGAAGGAGTTCATTGATGTCTAGCTTGCAATACAGTACAATGAGGTGTTATTTTCTCCATATTTCCAGCATCAACAATTTCTGAATACTATTTAATTTGTGTATCTAGAAAAAGGCCGATGGGCAAAGGAATTGGAGAGTACTTCACAATGAGAAATTAGCCCAGCTTAAGAAGAGGCTTTCAACTATTGAGAAACAACTCCGCCAAGGTCAGTTCTTTCATAGTTATGAGTATGTTATTACTTGTAGTGTTAGTTCATCCCCATGCAGGTTGTGCTTTCTAAACTGTTGTTTGTTAAACCTATATGTTTTGCTATAGCAAAGGCCAAACGAGAAAAAATGACGCAGGAGCAGGACAATAGAGATGCATTGCTGAAATCTGCTTTTATTGTGGTACTACTAAACTTATTCTCTTAGTATATTTTTATACCATTTTTGTTGGTTTCTAATTTACTTTGGTAATAGTTTGCTTCATTGCTACGTAGTTTGGGTACTTTTTGTTTTATGTCCAAGAAGTTCAATTCTAATCATTTCCTGCTTTTGATAATGTGCTTACTTCCATGCAGTTGGAGAAAAATCGTGCTGAGCAGCTGCAGAAGTATTACCCTAACATCATATGCACGCAGAATTTAGGGCTTGTGAGTTTATCCTGCAAAAGATTTGATTGTGATAATGTTTACGTTTTTTTTTTGGGTAGATATTCGCTTCTTATTCATCCAATAAGAGAATGTTTTCTTTCATTTATTTGGAGATGCGTAGAGAAGTTCATTGTCATTGTGACGTTTTTCCTTTTAATATCATTCTGTTCCATACTGAGTGATTTGGAAATCTAAACTAAGATCCATTCAGCATATAATACTATAAAATTTTGTTATTTTCACGCTTTTGGATATGCCTATATATATATATATATATATATATATGGATGTGTCTGTATTTCTCCATGTTACTTGCTGATTTGTTTAGGAAACAATCTCGTATCATTGAACAGCTGGGCTCAGGCCTCAACATATAATGGAGAAATATAAACAGCAGCAAAAGAAAGAAGAGAAACAAATAAATTAAGAGGAAGGAGCAGAGGAGTACAATGCGAGCAGGGCTCAACTACGAAGTTTAACAACGTAAACATCGTTTTGTTTGTCCTCCCCTCACAAAAGATGAAGCTATGCATATATAGACCATTGGGGGGACTCCCAGACACTTTCTAGTACACACACAATGGATTTGATATGACTTGACTTAGCCACTACGAAACCATAAGAAATTTGCATGAATTGTATTTGAACCATTAACTCACATGTTTTACTTAGACTTAGGCATCATGCACATGCAGTCATGTTTCCTATGACATAAGTTCTTTTTTTTTTGTAATGCAAATTACATTTATTTATGCAACAACCATGGTGGACTGAATGCTGACTAGGCATACTTCATTGATGTTGCCAACGGCCTGCATCATTCTCTCCTTCTTAGGAAGAAATCGTTCTCATGTTCGTATCTGATTCGTAGTAGTATTCTGATAGATCTTGAACATTGAAAGTAGGATCAGTGCGAATGCTCCTGGGATGCTCAATCTTCTAGGAGTTGTCATTGATCTTCTCTAAGATGTGAAACATGGTTCAACTTTGTTCTCCTTGACCTTGTTCCAGTTGCCCACTGGAAGCCTTTCTTTCTTTAAGTATTCCCACACAAGCTCCCCTTCTTTGAAATTCTTCCTTTCGATGTGCATCAGCTGCACTGCTTCTTTGTAATTTACATTGCTTTTCTCAAGCTTTTGATGAACATGTTAATGGATCCTTACAATTGTAAAAGTGAGGCATTCTGATGCTTTGTTTGCTTTTATTGAATCTGACAAAGACACTAGAAGATTATGTGAAGGATTACACCCATAAACTATCTCAGATAGACGCGTTCATTCCAAATGATTCACCATGGTGCCGTATGCGAACTCAGTTTTGGTTGCGCCATATTCCATTGTTTAGGTCTCTTCCACTCCAACTTTGGAGTACATTTCCAAGAGTTTGGTTCGCCAGTTCAATTTGGTCTGCCTACTTGGGTCGATAGGCCCTACAGTAGAGCAGGTTAGTCCCAAGTTTCTTCCATTAAGGTCCTCCAAAAGTGGCTGAGAAATTTGGTGTCTTGGTTTGATCTAATTGACTTGGATATTCCATGATGCCTAGCCACTTCACAAAAGTAAAGATTAGCAACATAGAAAGCATCCATTGTTTTTTTGCAAGGAATGAAATGTGTCATTTCAGAAATCGATCAACAACTACATAAATTGAATCTATATTGCTTTGAGTCCTTGGCAGTCCAAGCACAAAATTGATGCTTGCGTCTTCTGATGGAGAGTTAAAAACTAACAAGGGAATGTAGAGACCTATATTTTGAGTATCCAATTGAAGTTTGATTGTCTGACAGTGTATTCACTTCTCAATGAAACTTCGGCCAAAAATACTTTTCTCCTACCAAAGAATAGTTCTGGCACAGCTAAAATGTCCACCCAAACCTCCTAAATTTGGTACCCTTGTTGATATCCTCATGCAATGAGCATTTTGGTATGCATAAGCGGGTCCCTTGAGAGAAATCGTCATGGTTACCTTTTTTGCATAGCTTCCAAAATTTCCGAAAATCTGAAACCTCAGCGTACAGTTCCTTCATTTCCTCAAAGCCGATAAGGTGTGCATTGTAGTGTTTTAGAAGCACCACACAGCGACTAAGTATGCTAGCCACTTGATTGAGTGCCAACTTTTATATTTCAATGCAAAACTGAATTCTTGCAAAAGCACAACCCACTCTGCATGTCACTGGTTAAGGTTCCTTGATGATGTGCTTCAGTGCTTCAGAATTCCAAATCAACTCTCTTTGGATGGGATAGTGCCCTCAATGCCGTAGAGCTTGACCAAATGCATAGAATTCCACATCATATGCAAAGTAATTTATGTTGCATCATGGAGCTTTTCACTAAAGGCTATAGAACTTCCATCTTGGTTGAGTATATCCTCGATTCGAACTTGTGAAGCAATGTTATCAAGATCAGGCTGGCTAAAAATTGGTTAGGGGTCTGGTTTGCTAAAAAAAGGTCCAACCTCCAGTTGAATTGGTTGGAATAAATTTTAAACATATAGAGGCCTAAAAATATAAAATATATTATAAAAAATCTGCCCTTATTTCTTTAGCCGGTCTAACCGGTTGAAACCTGTTGTTTGGATTGGCCAAAACTAGTCAAAAATTGGTTTTGATCTATTTTCGACTAATTCTAGTTTCTACTCAGGAGTAGACTATACCAGCCAAGGCACCGGTCGTTGGTCCGCCCGGTAAGACTGGCTGGTCCAGACCAGTCATGGTAACTATGCTTTCATGAATAATTTCCTTTCTAAGTCCATAACTTGCGGATGAAGTTCCTCATGCTCTTTTGGAAACTGAGACAAAGTAAGAAAGTTTGCCAAATGAGGCTCGCTATCTTCTTTCAGACACTGAGACAAAGTAAGAAAGTGCTGCCCTTCTCTTGGATAAGATCTGGGAGCATTCTCTTCTTTGCAGGGTACACATTGTTTCTTTGAAATTGTAGGTATTCTTTTGGCCATCATGCATGACTTTCCCATTTGAATTGCCAAGGCCTTCTTAGAAGCATGTGGTATACATCCGTAGGAACAACATACACATTTCATCTTTATAAGTTCTAGTGATGGAAAGAGGAACCAAACATCTTTTAGTCACTTTTACGTAATCACCTTTCATAAATCATGAGATGCGATATGCCTTTGGATGTGGCTAAGTTTTTAATGTTAAGCTTTTCCATAATGTCTTGTGAGACAATGTTCTCACAACTCCCCCCCATAAATGACAATGGAACATACCTTGCAGCCATAGTTAGGATGGGTTTGGACCGTAGCCAATCCTCATCACGCCCTGCCTTAGTTGTGGTCAACACCCAATGGTCACAGGTTCTCCGACTTCAGGTCCAATCTCTTCTCACTCTACATCTCTGTCGTCATCATATATGGGTTCAAGGGTGTCATCCATGAGTTGTTCACCGTCTCCCTTTTCCACCGGGTTTACATGGGTATCCACTTGTAACTTTGCAAACTCGCTGGATAAGTGACCAGCTTGATCACATTTGAAGCAGGTAATGGGACGATTGGCATGGCTTATTTGGCCTTCATCTTGTGTGGGTCCACTATCTCCAGTTCCGGCAGCGCAGCCTTTTTCAGTCTCCACCTCTTGAAGCTTCACAATTTATGGTAGAGACTGCAAACATAATAGACTTCCTTGTGCCACTACAACCAATCCAGTCTCAAGTTTCATGGTTAGTTGGTATGCGTCATTGATCCTCGATAACCGCTGCATTTCTGCTCCATCACAAATCACCATTTACGTTACTGACATGTCTTGAAGTGAGTGGTTCCTTAGTTTCTTGGATGTCATTCGTACCATTAGTTTGTGAAATTCTTTGTTGTATTCAGTTACACTCCTTGCCAAGAACAATGTTCGCGCGAAAGAGTCTCGATTCCCATGCCTCCTCTCTAAGAGGCTGATTGGCAAAGGAATTAACATCCTACTCGTTGCTCGACTGACCACGAATGTATGAATGTTCACTTTGAGCTTCTTGATGCTTGAGATGCAAGGTTAATTGCTCAACTTGCCTGCGAAGTTCCCCCAACTCTTCATCTCTTACTTCATTCATCAAATTGTTGCCCCGTTCTCCTTCAGGTCTTCTTGCCACCATGGAAGAAGGACACGCTATAAATGAAGAAGCTTCTCTGAAAATCTGAACTCATACTTGCTCTGATACCAAATGACAGTGAAAAAGAAACAACAATGAAGAAAGAATGGAAACAAAGAAACTAAGAGGAAGGAGATGACTGCACAATGGGAGCACCGCTCAATCAATAAGTTCTACAGGCACATGAAGATCATTTATCTTGTCCTCCCCTCATTAAAAATGATGTTACATGGATACAGAGACCTTTGGGGAGACTTCTAGACACTTTATAGTGCATGAACATTGGATTTGACTTAACTTAGCTAGAAAGAAACCAAATGAATTGTGCCTGAATGGTTATCATCATCATCAGAGATTTTTCCAAACTATTTGGGATCGGCTACACTTATCCTAGTCCGCCACTTGGCTCTATCAAGGGTCATACCCTTAGTGAGGTCATAGGTCCCTATATCTTTTCTCACTACTTCCAACTGTCCTATTGGGCCTACCCCTTATTTTTTTTTAGCCTTCTATTTGAACCAACTTGCACTTCCTAACAGGTGTTATATTAGATCTGCGCTGAACATGACCAACCCACTTAAGTTTATTTTCTCTCATCTTATCGCCTATTGGAGCCACACCTAAGTTCTCTCGAATGTATTCATTTCGAATTCTATCCCTTCTTGTCTTGTCATTCATCCATCTCAACATCCTCATCTCGGCTACTCATCCTATGTGTAAGTTGTTTTTGACCGCCCAATATTCCATCCTATAAAACAAAGCTGGTCTCACAGCTATCCTATATCTTATAGAGCTTGCCCTTTAGCTTCAGCATTATGTGGCGATCACATATAACTCCGGTTTCGCATCTCCACTTTGCCCACTCAACTCTAATTCTATGTGCGACATATTTCTCAATCACTCCATTTTTTTGGATGATCGACCCAAGATATTGAAAGTACATTCTTTTTGGTATTTCTTGGCCGTCAATCTTAACTACTTCCTCTTCTCTATGCCTATTATTTCTAAACTTGCATTCCATATACTTTGTCTTAGTCTTGCTAATTTTAAAACCTTTAGATTCTAGAGCGTCCCTGTAAAGTTCTAACTTTGTCTTGACACCGCTTCAGGTCTCATCGATCAAAAAACTATGTAGTCCGCGAATAACATACACAATGGTACCTCATCTTGTAGGTGCCTAGTTAAGTCGTCCGTAACTAAGACAAAGAAGTATGGGCTCACCGTTGTCCTTTGATGTGGACCTATTGTTACGAAAAACTCATTCGTCTCTCCACTACGTTATTTGCATGAATGGTATTGGAACCATTAATTTACACCTCTTGCCTAGACTTAAAAACCATGCAAATACAATCTTATTTCCTATGACACAAGTTTTTTAATGCAATAATGGTACACACAATTACATTTATTTATGCAACAACCAGGGGTTGACAATGTGCTGACTAGGCATGCCTCATTGAAGCTGTGGACAGCCTGCATCAACATCTAAGAAGAACCATGCTAGCCAACACTGAGACCTGGTTATATTTTTATGTTTGTGTCTGTCTGTATATCTATCTACACAAACGCATTAGCATTCCTATTGTATTATCCATTCCTTCTAACTTATGACTTTAGTCATTCAGACATTCACTTATGATCAAGGTGCATGGTCATGCTTATCTCCTTCTATAATCCTTAAAACATTGTGGGGTCCTAACTTCCATGTATTTGATGTTGCATGGAAGTTTTAAGCAGTTTGACTTCTTCTAACTGATGTTTCTTACTTGGTTTGCAGATTGCAATCACTTCTGAAGTGCTCCACAAGCAAGCTGTGATTATAAAAAATGTCTGCAAATTGTTCCCACAGCGCCCAGTAAGTATTAGTTGCGGGTTGTATAAGAAAACTACGATCATATATGGCTTATCATAATTGTCAGTAGACATGCCTATCCCATATGAAAGATGTGATGAAGAGTTTCATGTGTTACATGGGATGTCTGACTTAAATTCATGACTAATGGTCCATGTGTAATGGTGAATCTCTTCTAGTTCCGTAGAGAGCTTTGTTGCCCAGGCCTATACCTATCCAATTTCCATTTTGTATCCCTTGTGAAATTAGTGATCCTTAGCTTTTTCTGGTTAACAAGATGAGCTAATGTTGTCTTGGATCTTTTATTCTTTTTTGATACTTTTATTGATAATCTCTCAAAATTAATCGTAGTTGTAATGCCCGGTATATTAACAGGACTCTTTTTGTTCTTTGTACTTTCTAGGTGAATCTGGAAGGGGAAAGGAAAGAACTAAATGATACTCCCAATGATCTACGATATGATCAAATCTGTAATGCTCGATTGCCCAGAGGACTTGATCCCCATTCTGTCCAATCTGAAGAGCTTGCAGCATCTCTGGGGTAGTTCTACTTGCCAATTTACTAGTTCATATTTGATGGAAGGATAACTTCTGCATGCTTCGTTTTCTTACAAGTTCTCTATGACCGTTGTCTCAAAACTCTCATGTAGAACCACCTAACCTATATTACTTGCTTTATTTTCTTCACTGGGATGCTATCTTTTGGGGCCATTTTTATGGTTATTAAAATTTGTTTGCTTTTCTTTTGTTCTTCTTCTGGCTAAGTTCCAATGCATATGAAGTTTGCCAACCTGGGACTTCAATGTATTCTAGTGGCCATACCATATGCTCCAGCAATATTTTTCTTGTCTAATTTGTTGAGCTTCATAACTCATAGTTGATTAACATGGCTATGTTGTCCAAGTGCCACCATCTATTCTACTAGGTGTCTAATTGGCCTTAAAAATGTTCACAGGTACATGGTGCATCTTGTTGATCTTGTTGCTTGGTATTTGCGTGCCCCAATTCTTCATAATTCAGGCTTTGCTGTAAGTTTTCTGAGTTATATGAAGCTATGTTTATGCATACATACATACATTCATACATGCATACATATATACCTATTCTTAACGTGTATCTTTTTCCAGGGGTCATGCTCACGAATATGGCAAAGGAATTCGTACTGGGATGTGAGTCCAGCTTCCCAAAAGTAGGATACCCTCCTTTATATCCTGCCCGTCGCTCTCGCTCTCTCTCTCTATCTCTATCTCTATGCACACACACACAGAACCAGCATCTATGTAGGTATTTATGTGTTTTTATCTTGTCAAATGAAGTCCAGGGCACTTTCCTCATTAATGGTTTTGTTTTATGCAGTAAGGAGTATCCTCTCTTTATACCACGCCAGAATTCCTGTGCTGTGAATGCAGAAAGCTCAAACTTTGGTGTTGCTTCAATGGAGTCAGAGAAGAAGCCCCACGTTGATGGTGTAGGCAGTATCAGTTTTAATTATTCTAGTGCTTCACCACACTCTGTTGAAACACATAAAGACCTACAGAAAGGGATCTCTCTTTTAAAAAAAAGTGTGGCGTGCATTACAGCATACTGCTGCAATACGTTGTGTCTGGACTTTCCATCTGAAATGTCGACATTTGAAGCATTTGCAAAATTGCTACAAACTATAGGTGCTAAGAAAGAAGTTCAATCATTTACCTCAAAGATAGCATGTTCAAGGTCAATTGACTCCTCTCCTTTCTAATCTATTACAGTTTAGAGAACAGCTCAATGGGGTTGCCCCCACGCAAAGAACCTTTAAAGATTGGAATCATATTTAATGCTTACATCTTTGTCATTATGTTTTTTTTTTGAGTGAAGTTTTATGCAGTACTTTGAAAAAAATAAAAAAAAAATATATTCTTATTTTTCATTCCTAACATTGTGTCAATTAGTAGCAATAAATATATATTGTTCCTTTTCATTCAAAACATTGTACTTGTTATCAGCTTCCAAAGCAAAAGAAAAAAAAATTGTTCTAACTAATACTGTCGAACCATGTGGACTGTTTTGGAGAATAAAAGTACTAGAGAATCATCAATCATGTGATGCTTATGAATTGACTTCCTGGTTACGCTGGGATGTCAACTTATGGTTTATCTTTTTAAATGGTGACCTGTAATGTAATATCATATATGACTTACCACATCCTAAGCTCATGTAATGCAATCCAATGATGTGCTGTGCGAATGGTTTTTGGTAAAGTGTCAACCTAGGGGATTTTTGGGCCAAATTCCTGTATTTTGGGATGATCTTCATATATGCTCGACTATGAGGTAGATCTTTTCCATCGACCTCTTTTTGTTTGAGAGCACAATAAGGCTAGCTAGGGACCCATTATGCGGAGATTGGGACTGTATCTGGTGTGTCGGATGTATAATGTTCAAGGCAAATGTAGCTAGCATGTCATACACATCCTGTGTATGTTTTTAGATGGCAGGGGTTGTTTTGGAAATGTTTGAGTGACTATGGTGGGACTTCTTATGAAGAGGTTTGGGATGGGTTCCCATTCTGTCTTGTGAAGTGGGAGGAGGGTTGTGTATATAGGCTGAAGACACATGGAGATCCGCAGAGCTTGTTTCTGTAGGTTCTGCCATATGTGTGAGTGGAAGTTGAAAGTTAATATTATTTTCTTCAACAGCATATTCCCATGTTAAAACTGAATCCATACTTGTTTGACCTGTGAATGTCAACTTTTAACTATGTAAATTGCTTACTACTATGTGAAGGCTATGTACTGGCAAAGGGTTCTTAATAGAGTGATGAGCTAGAAAAGTATTCTCAGTGTGCATAATGACAATTACATGCTTTTTATGTTGGTTAATTAATTTGTTACACATAAATGCAGGATAAACTTTATTTTATGATTTGCAAATTTGTCTCCAGCTTATGATACCAATAAGTTTTGGTCTTTGGAATCAAACCTAATTTTTTGTGTAGTAGCCCAGAAATATGGAATGATCATACATTATATTACACAGCTAAATAAACAATTAAAAGAAAAGGGAAAGAAGCTAAACTAAACCGTGTACACAGTATATAGTCCTAATGTCTTCTAACTGGATAAAATGATAATGTCTTTTGAATGGATATTGTAACTTTTCTGTGATCTAGGGAAGACAGCAGAAAGTTCTCTGTGGCTGATGGCCTTTTTTTTCTTCCTATGATAAGTATTTTCCTCATATGGTCCTTGCTAAAAAGTTTCTCGGTTCCTGACTTAATGGCTCCCAAAAGTGACTTAGTCAATGGATGCATACATACACAGAATAAAGTCCTTTAGGCGACCGTATTTTTCAATTTCACATGGCAGAGATGGGCACCACCAGTAACAATTATGCCTACATGTAATCTAATTTTATCTATAAATAATTTAACCCAGTTGAGTACTTCTGATGAATTTTACTGAAATATCTTTAATTTATTTGGTATTTGGAATACCTTTCCCAGTCCTTCAGAGAAAATGACTGTTCGAGGCATTGTTTTTATATTTACCCTTCTTTTTACTGAAAATTAAATAAAAGTCTCCATGCGCATGTAACATAGCATTCTTGAGAACCATGCGTACCTGTTCCTCTAATCTCATTCACTTCCATTCTGTTTTCTAGATCTAGGAAACCAGTTCAGCAGGTGAATACATCTGTTTTGCAAGAGCAGTATCTGATAAATTCTGTGACGTCATCATACTGTTTGGAGGGAAGTGCCCATGCACCAAGTATAAAGGTAGATTCTTATATGATGATGTACTGGTCAGTTATACATTTAATTTTTGAGGTGAATAAATGTAACTCAACTTTCAACTTGTATGAAATTGGCTGTTTATTTTCATATGAGCAAATATACCTGTTGTCATTTGACAGGCTTTATGCCTTGATTGCTAGGAAGTTGCTAAGGAAAAAGTTTATATAAGTGCGAGGCTCTAAACAATCAAATTAGGGCGCACCTCAAAAATTTCACAAGAAGAGGTTGTTTTGATGCCCAAATAACCTCAAATTTATCATCTCAACCTCAAGATGCATGGATATGAGAAAAAAATGGATTTCAAATTTTGGAAATAGTGCATCTTGTAATGCATTTTTGGACCGTCAATTTTCAATATTTTCAAGTTTCATAGATTTGTTCGATCTACTATTTTTGAAGCTTTAGATTTTATAATTAGAGATGAAAATATATTTTAAGGCTATCACAAAGATTTCTAGCATTGAAACCACATTTCTCGACACTATTTGAAGATGCGCTTTACTTTGATTGTTTAGAGCCTCGGTTCTATACAAACCACACCCTTCTTCAAATAGGTTGAAACCTCTAAACTACAGAGAACATGGATTTTCTGACACCCCAGTTTTCATGAAGCTGAGGACCATGGTCATGGTGTCCTTAGCTCATGAAAATCGATTTTTTCTTTATATTCTACTCATGCATATTCAACTGTACAAGGGGCTGCCTCCAAATGGCGTGCACAACATGATTGCATCAGTAGAATATTTCTCTTGAGACTCCGAAATGCATCTCCTAGATTTAATAGTGTTCATCAATCGATTTTTAAGCCAACAGAAGGTAATTGTCATTGTTTGGATTGCTATCTCTCAGAAAACCCAGCTTCCTTTCTTTTTCCATTATTTACCTAACCTTATTTGAACTCATCCTGCAAAATTGATTTGAGCCAATTATGTTTCAATCTGGCTACATACAGCCAATACAAATCTGAATTATGTCAGCTTGAGTTTTTTTTTTAATAATTCATTGTCATTAAATTTAAACATACGTACATTTTCTTCCTTCTATTCCTTATGTTTCAATTTTTTATCTCCATTTGCCCATTTAAACCTTTTTTGAACAACCCCATAGCATGTTCCATTTGCCCATTTAAACCTTTTTTGAACAACCCCATAGCATGTTCCAGGATCGAAGTATCCCCCATTTCTCTACTTCTAGCCAAAGCCCACATGTCAATAGAAGCAAATTCGGCAGCAGGGTCTGCATTTGGGTGTGTTATCTTTTGTCTTTGTTCCTTTTTTCTTTGAAAATTCACTTGATTTTTTTTCTTCTATGCAATGGCAGCCTGATAAGCAGAAAGGAAGAAGTGATATGAGCTTTCTTTACACAAATGAGGCAACCATCAGTAAAAAGGGGGACTGCCTTGTCGAAGGTTGGGATATTGTGGAGCATCCACCGCTTCCGCCTCGCCCCTCTGAGTCTGAAGATGTTGAGCATTGGACCAGAGCGATGTTTATTGATGCCACTAAAAGGTAAATGTTCCCCTTTTCTTTTGCTTTATCTTGTCACAATTGGTGTTTCATGAAATGTAAAAAGTGTACGATGTAATGAAAATAGCAGATATGGATATAATTGTTTGGCCACTCCTTTCGCTTGTAATGAAATGTGTGTTGCAATATGCAAAATTAGACAGCGACGGAGTAAATGGGGGTCCGGCTGGCATAGCTGAACATGAGCAAGCATTTCTAATTGGATCATGTTACAGGGGAATAAGGTTTTTTTCTTCTTTTCTTCTTTTCTTCTTTTTTTTCTTTCTTCCCCCCCCCCCCTTCCTTTTTTTTCTTTATTCTTTTCTAAGGTTTTTACTATTTGATTG